TATTTCATAAATATAATAAATAAATACATATATTACAAATCATATTTGAGAAGTGTATTGAAACCAGCCTGAAAGCTGAAAAGAGTAAGGAGCTTAAAATATTGTAGATTAGAATATAATATTACAGATTTGAATATAATAAGAAACAATGAAGACATATAGTCTTAAAATAGATTTTCTGCTTATTTATTAGATAGTTTAAACAATCAGAGTTTGAACAAACAGTATCTGCGAATTAAATTGAATATAAAAAAAAAAAATAAAAAATTCAAACTCAAGAAAGAAAGAAGACTTTTAAATCATTAATTTTCCCATTATCAAATAATTGAATTATAATTTTTGATTTCTTTAATTTTCATAAAGTTTGAGTCCGCATACCTGCATACATAATTAAAAGCTACAGCCCAGCACTGCGTACCTCATTGACGCGATTATTAGAGCGTTGATTGAGCTGCAGCTGGGTGATGCAACACAATAGTGCAACATAATTGCAGTGGCCCAATCGCTTATTTGAGGCAAGATTGCTGTGATATCGCCGGGCTGTGTGTCGCATTTACGGAACACTAAACAACAAAGGCCGCCATTTCAGAAACTGTCGAGTCTTAGAGGAAAGGGAGAATTATAGGCGAGAGTGCAGGCCCATGATTGCAGATAATCACAATTGTCGAGTCGTTGGCCGAATGCAGTCACAGCTTGGATGGGGCAACTTCAAAGGGAGCTGGAGCCTCACGATAAATAAACCGCTGCATAGCCACAGGCGTTGGCAGTGCGAAGGGTCTTAAAGCCCGCATATCAGTTATTCAAGTTGAGCTTAAAGAGGGCTGACAACAAACTGTTTATTGAATTTGCCGCCATTTTTGGCGCTGGATATAGCCAAGGCTCGCTTTGGCCCAAAAATAGCCTTGAAGTTACTTTTAGGAACTTGCAGCTCCAATGTCCGTATCGTGCGGCATTGTGAAACTTTTCTGGTGCTGGAGCGTTTTTTATTTGAGTTTTCACTTACCTTGCGCTTAAGTGTTCCATCGCCAAGACCATTTGCCATTTGTTTTGGCACAGCACGCCCAACACGGGCAGAGGGGCGCAACAGTAGCAGCCGAGGCAGCCGAGGCAGCCGTGGCACCCAGATGCGAAAACTTTGCTCCAAAGGTAGCCTAGGCTGACAGGCAGCTGGGCGTGCGGGCTACTTTTATGATTATTGCTTTCTGTCGCTGCCGCCTCGGAATGAAGGTATTTGTATCTATGCGGATGATTGTGTATCTTCTTACAGATGGTCTTAAGTGCGCCTTAATGTGGATTTTAAGCATTTCTGGGCATAAGCTTCAGATTTAAGGTGCCCCGTGTTGGCGTGCTGCCATTACACGGTGACAACCCCTCTTTACACATTCTCTCCCTTTCCCTCTCTCACTCACCCTCACATAATGCCTCCTTAGAGTGGCAACCCTCCTTCTCTGTTGTAACAGTCTGTCTTCTGTGTCTGACTCGAGCTGCACTTCACTTTGTCTAATTGTAAAATAAATAAATGAAATAAAAACGTGAAGTGGCGCGAGCTGCAGAACATCATGCTAAGGAAATGACAAATTGTGCACGAGCTGCAACGCCTGGCAGCTAACCGCGCACTTTAATGCACACCCTCGCACACACACACACACATGCACACACACGAGTGAGCACACAATGTTTGAATTGAAGTGCAGGCAGGCAATGCCAGCGCCAAAAGAAACAACTGTCAAAAATAATAAATCAGCATGGATACATTGAAAAATGCAAGGTGTTGCCTGCCACTTGGCAGCTCTCTTCGCCAAAGACAGTTGAGGCAACAGAAGGCTTTCAATTTCTGGAGCAAAGCACTAAGCAGGCAGCCGACGAGGCGATCCCGACACTTGGCTGACTAGCTGACTAGCTGAGTAGAGGACTGCCAGACTGCCAGACTCCCAGACTGCCAGGCTGACAACCTGACTGACAGTACTCGGTTATAAAACTCGCACAGCAACAACAATCAAAAGCAACCCCTGCAGGGCTTTGCAGCTTTCATCGCCTGAGCTACCCCTCCTCTCTCTCTTGCTCTCTCTCTCTCTCCCAAAATCTGTGGCCAGCACCATCTCCACAAGAGTCGACGAAGTTGTTTAAGTACTTTGCGGGCAAAATGGCTTGCCGCCGCAATTTAGATAAATTTTAATTTTAATAAAGTGTTTGCGCTGCACTCCCGGCACACTCCAGCTGATACTCATAGAATTATGAATTAATTATATCAGACTGATGCTGGCTTTGCCCTGTTTGGTCTAGTTCTCCTGGCTTTCAGCTTCCGCCTGTATTTCACAATGCTGCAAAAGTCTATGAATCTGTCGCGTGCCCTTGGGTTGCGCAGGCGACGAGGCGGGGTCAGATAGTAATGTGATCGCATTTTTATGATCGCCTTCTTCTCCATGCCACACTCGAGGGCTTCCTGGACGATCGTGTTGCAAACGTCGGCGGGAAATCCGATTCTGGCGCTGAAATAGTTGACCAACTGGCAAAACGGGATGCCTTTACCGATCTCATCGAGTACAGTCAACACCAGATCAATGGACGTCTTAATGGTAGCATCGTGATAGATTAGCGCCATGAAAACTTTTCTATTTTTAACTGAATATTTATTTTTATTTATTTTTTTTGACCTGTTTTGCTTGGTTAAACATTAATAATAATAAATGTTTTCAGAGAAGCTCTCCACATCATATACATATATATATATATATTGTCATGGCAAAGGCCACACAATTTGCTTTGATTTAATTTATCACACAAAAAATTAATGAGGTTTAGAATTGCTTGGCCAAATAACCGTCGATTTGGTAGCTCCTTTAATGGAGCCAACCAGCAGTGGCTGTTCCGCTGACTGGAGAACAATGCCAAAAGTTCAACCCCGGCCAAAACTTGTTGGCGCACAATTTGAATGAAGCGCGCAAATTGAATAAAAGGCCAACGCCACAGCTCAAGCTGAAAAAATGCTGGCCGTGATAAAATCATCAGTTTGCCTGCTCTTTCAAAAATGTTTTCCTTTTTGTTTTCTCTTTTGCCTCTTTTTGTGTCTTCCCTTTTAGATTTTCCTCATTTCATTTTCTCTTTTTTATTTTTTGCATTTTTACGCTTTGTGATCAACTGTGTGGGAGGAGTTGGAGTTGGAATTGGAGTTGGAGCATGACCGGAGTTGGGGCGGACTGAACATAAATTTTTATTGCGCAAGCGAATTCAATAAAGTGGGCGTGGGATGTACCAATGTATCTGGCTGGAGCAATCGGCCAATTCTTAATTTAATTAGATTTTCATTGCAACGGAGACAAGGGCCGAGATGGTAAATAAAAGGAAATAGGTAAATAGACAACAGACGTAATCAAATTGCAGCAGCAAATCGGGATTTGTACTTGGAAGATTTCATTACTGTAGCTTTAATCGAGTTGATTGACTGCGATTTAATTAAAAATGATTTACTAACTCCGCCAACTCCCAATTCCTATAAATTTATTATCAATGTGATACAAAAGCGACAAACCTCTTTGTCCATCTAACTGCAATAAATTCACAGAAAATTATGCAAATGATGGCAAAAAATATGATTTCTCGACAAAGGCAGCCAAAGGGGCGTGACCGAGGCCGATAGGGCATTATATAAAATGTGAATCCATTGACCAAAACTGCGTATTACGCAAACCTAATGCGGCCAGATAACCACAGCTAAGTGTGGTTGTGTGTGTGTGGGTGTATGTGTGAGAGAGAGAGAGAGAGAGAGACAATATTTATGTCTTTATATATGCATGCAGATATCTGAATGAATTGAATTTAATTTTATGCATTTGCAGTATGAACGCATAAATTATGATAAAAGGCATAAAATATGCATGTGTAGGCCGAGAGAAGTGAGGGGAGCGCAGGAAGTAGGAGTAACTAAACTAACAGAGCCGAGTAAATTATGTTGATGGCCCGGATGTGTGGGTGTGCGTATAAGCCTCCCATTGGGCTGATATAATCGACATTAATATTCAGGACCATTCTCTAGTTTGGGTGTTATGCAAAAACAATGTCAAAGCTCAGCTGCCACAGATGTTCACTAAATTAGTCCAGCACACACACCCGCACACCCGCACACACCTACGCACACACAGACACATGAATTTATTGCGAAGCGGGAAAAAAGGGGCAAAGTTCAGGCAAATGTTTGCACAGGCTCCAAGGACCACCTGTTCGCAGTTGTCATATGTAGAATGAAACTGGACATCGGCTAATCCAGCTGAGCGCCAATTTGGCGTACATGTCGTCAGTTTTAGTATTTTTTTTTTTTTTTTGTCGTCCGTTCCGTTTTTGCTATTCGCTTTTGCGCTCATTTGGAACACGAGTTGCCTAGTTACCTGTCCAGGTGAAATTGTGAACGTGTGTGCGCAATTAGCAGATAGCTTTGTGTGTGCTTGTGTGTCATCAAAGCCAAAGCCAAAGCCGGCTGTTTGGCCTCCATTAATATGCCGACAGCAGACGAGCAATTGGAAGCAGCTCACAGTCACTTTATGAAGAATTCGCAAAAAGTAAAAAAAATAATGGAATGAAAAGTTCTGTTCAGCATTCCGAGCTAATTGAAAGCACTTTATGAGGCATCATCATGAATAACAGAAGCCAATTCATCGAACCACCTCTTGCCGCCTGTCAAATGAATCAAGCGTCGAATTGCTCGGCAATGCTAACCCTTCTGCTTATCCTTTCAGTGTCTAATCAATGCATAGCTTCAATATATGGAATATGTATATTCATGACGCATGGGCTGACAATGCCGGTTTGTGCTACCCTTAATATAGTACAAGAAAAAGAATCTTGTGATTTTTATGCCCAAATGTCCTGCATAATTTGTTCAGGCGAACTGAAATCCGCCACACACACACACACACACACACACACACGCATACACACGTCAACACAGCTTTGAGCTTGAATGGCTTATGAGCTGATTTGTCGATGTATATACATACAATACATGTATTGTATATTCAGGTGGACTTCGATATTGAACCCTCAACAATAAGTTGATAAAATGCCTTTCATTTTTCCTTTGTGTGCTCCTTCTGCCTGCTACAAAATCAATTTACAACGGAAGCTTGCTTGCATAACCCTTGAGACACGTAATCCTGTTTATATGTTTGTACGGCTATGCCTGCACGAGTCTATCCCACACGTTCATTCTATATACATACACGTATGCGTGTGTACGCCTGTGTGTGTGTGTGTGTGTGTGTGCGTGTGTGTCTGTATGCCTCCCTTGGCGTTTTGCAAAATAGTATCACAGGTTGAGGCTGAATGTCTAAGGACAATGTCGGCATATCCTACGCCTCAACGATGTTGTTGTTGTTGTGGACTAGTTGCAGTTTTCGCATATCGATCACATTGTCTTTCGGGACGGCACGTGACCCAATGCCACTAGCATACTCGCTCTGCACAAATATATATACATACATATACATATACATATACACATATTTATGTGCTTGTAAATGATTCGATTGCATTTTATAATTGCTTTATGCCTGTCAGTATTTATTTGGCCTGGTTTGCATATCTCTTTCTGGCAAAACTTTAATAAATATTCGGCAGAGGCATTGATTGTTTATCATCTGCCTGCTTTTTAATTGCATTATTTCTTATGTTCCAGTTTATTTCTAAACACATACCACTCAACTTCAGAAAATTGATTAGTGTGATAAGTTTGTTTCGCTTCACTGCTAACTTTCCAAAGGTAAAGGCCTAAGCTTATTGTTGGCAGCTTTCAGTTGACTTGAAGTTTCGTATTTTCAATAAAATTCTCAATGAAATATGCCTCAAATCAGAAAATATTGGTTGTATGGAAATTGTTATTTGACATGGATGCAAGTTTCGGTAAAGGCTGAAATACATCTGTATATTATTCATATGAATATAAAAAGTAAACAATATATTTTTATTTTAAGAGCTGTCGTAATAAAATTGCGTATTTGTCTTTATTTTCCATGTGACAAATGTGAAGGGGAATGTATTGAATTTGATTCATGCCAGTAGGCATATCACAATCCCTTCTCAATTCCTTGCCTAGTTGAATTGTGCTCAGAATGCAGCTAGCTAAAATTGTGTTGTCTCTCTTCTTTTTCCATAGGTGGACTGTCTGCATATTTGTCTCTCGTATCGCCTCTATACTCGTGCATCAATCGTTGATTCGGTCTAGAATAATGCTTCAATCAAGCAACAACTGCAGCACACTCGGTCGAATCGACTCTCTTGCTCTCAAGCCTTGCTCTTTATACAAATTTCATAATACTGCACTCTAATTTAATTTAATTTAATGCCCATCAAATAAATTTTATAGAAATAATTAAATAAAGATTATAATAAAGGGAATACAATTCAGCAAAATTACATTATATCTTACCACATATATAATTTAATTTTGTTGATTGTATTCTCTGAAACATTTTATATTCAGTAAGCTGACCAGAATATTTAAAAATAATGTAGAAATCTTAGAATCATTATATATAACCGACCTTCATATATTAATTTAGTGCCTTCATTTATTTTTGAGTAATAATAATACGTCTGTAATAAGCAATGTAACAATAATTTCTATTTGAGATTTAATTTTTGTTTGACCGATGTTAGGCAAATAAATTGGTATGAGGAAAACTGATGATACAATATATATAGATTTAAAATTTCCTGACTAGATTATCTTAGCCAGATATCTCGACCTGGATTGGACGCGGTTCCTTTGTTATTAAATTTGTGACTTTCAAAGGGTTCAGATTGGGACGTATTAATTACATTTAATACAATGCGACACTAAGCAGCTTATTCCTATTTACCTTGACAAAAGGGACAAAAAATTATAGCAGCAGCTAATGGATGTTTGAAGCCAAGCATTATTATTAGGAAAAAGTTTGAATTATACCTGCATAATATGGCTGGAGTTGAGTGAAATGACTGRCTGGCTGGCACTTGGACAGCTAGACAGTTGGACAGCTGGACTGCTGGACAGTTGGGCAGATGGCTGAGTAAATTAGATTAAAGACATCGAAAGCCACACAAAGTCCACTTGACTGCGCTACACGAGCCTTGCCCTGGCAGCCACTTAAACTTTTCCAAAGTTTGTGCGCAACAACTCATTGTTGAGCGGAGTGGATTGCCCTTCAGCTGATGCACCTTTTGTGCTGATGCACTGCAGTGGAGTGCAGCGCAGTGCAGTGCAGTGCGGTACGTTGCGGAGGAGTCAAAGTTGCATTCTCCTTGGCTTAGCAACATTGCGCAAATCCAATTGATTTGCCTTTGAAGTGCAACGAGTTTAAGCGCTGCACAAATACAACTAATGCAATGCATGCCCCAAGAACTTGGCTAAGTGATTTTCCAAAGTTCTTTTTTAATGAAACTGAATGCAAGTGCTCATCTCTGCCTGTCTCCCTCACTCCCGCTCTGGGATATTTCTGTATTTAGTTTTTCATTTCGCTCTTACTATCTCTCTCTCTCTCTCCTTCTATATATATATGTGTAATTAAACTGATTGATTTTTCGGATTTGGCCAAAAGTATTCAGCATTCGTACTTTTGTGCTTGCCATGCACTTATATCCGATTTTTTCCGACTGTTTGCTTAGTTCTTTGGATTTGAAATGGCTTA